GCAGTGGGGATAGAAGAATGGAAAATGTGAGTACTGCTCAACTAAAAAAAAATTAAGATCAAACATCTAGCTTTCTTAGAGTATTCCTTATATTCTTAGAGATGACACCAAATACTCTGTAAGGATTTGTTCAATAACAGTAATGAAAAAATATGAAGCTAGAAAATAGTCTCTCAAAAATCTGGTGACAGTGTGTGTTAGCATGGCTAGGTACATATAGAGGCTTGAGAGAGACTTGGATTACTCTACCCCCAGGTACATTGAGACAGACTGGGCTGCTCTACATTTTAATCTGTTCTGTAGAAAAACGGATCTTCAGCAAGAAATGAAAAAAAAGCAAATAGAGACAGTATGTCAGAATGTCCTAAACTAATAGGACCTTACCATTGCAGGAAGCCTTGCGAGACATCCACATCCTTACACTGAAAACAGCTAAGTAAAGCAGAACAAAATGATCATTCTCTACAGGAAGGATGAAATTTACAGGAAAATGGAAAAAGCATTTTAAAAAGTCTTGGTGTCTCTAGTTCTTCACTCTATTAGTGCAGCAGCTAGTGGTACTACTAATCTATACCAAAATATTTAACTAATACATAAACACAACAGAGGCTAGTTGAAGCTTTCTTCAAGAAATCATGGAGCACTGGGGTGGTCTCTGCTAAATTCAGGTGGCAGGATGAGTTAGTGGGACAGACCACACTGAATAGTACGGGCTTTTTTTGTTTCCTAGGGTAGTCAGCAATACTTTTGTTAACACTCTGATTATAAAGATTCATTAATCTTGTAGTTGCACAATTACCTCTGAAAAGAGAGACCTTGAAATTGGTCAAGTTACTGTGCTTCTGTAGCCAGTATATTTCCTTCCCACTACCTGCCTGATGTTCTCAGCTGAAAAGAATTTGAGCCCTTCAGAAAGGAGAAATAGGGAAAAAAAAGCGTAACAGAGTGGGGATGTGGTGTTAAGCTCCTGTGTGCTAGACACTTGCCCTAACTGCAGCTTTTTCTAACAATCCTGATTTCTACCTCTCAGAAAAATTTGCCAGCAGCCTTTCAATGAGGCATCCTCGCCAGCATCCAGGTAAATGTGCTGCACCTGGACCCAGTGACTCCAGTGACTGTTTCCAATCTCAGGGACCTGAGTTACTGCTTTTCCTTCCTGCCCTGCCACATCCTCCTCCTTAAGCTAGCATCTTCTGGTTCATCTTGCTCCACTACTTCTGCATCGAGGTGACTCTACTGCTGGGTGACCTCACAGAGATGCAGTATGGCCCCTGGATTCTATTGTTACTCACTGAAACTTCAAGTTTTGAGTGTCCCAATCCGCTCTTCTTTTGCCTCTGACCTCACCATGAGAGGCAGATGCATGGCTTGCTGACCCTTTAAAACTCCCACCTGCACCACAATTAGCTGTGGCTGACACTTGGAGAGACTAGACCTGACAAGAGAAAATAAAAAACCTGGACCATCAGCTTAGAGGAGAGAATGGCCCTATGAAGGTAATTGGTTAAAGCTACAAAGAGTTTTTCACAATAAAGGTCTGCCTCATTTCCTTAAACAAAGACCAAAAGTCAATGAGACATATCAAATAAAAGTGCTAAATATTTAGTACAGCTTATAGACCAAGAGTCATATTCTTCCTGAACTCCTTTGCCATTGCTCACTCTTCCTTTCAGACCCTCAATTATACAGCACAGGCTGCAACAGCTTACACTTTGCTGGTATCTGCAGAGGCTTAGCACTTCGTATCCCACATTTGCCCTGACTGTCTGCTTATTTCTTCTGTTATATGCATTATATGAAGAACCCTGCCAGGACTGCAAATTCCCTGGGACCCCTCTTCAGGACAGATGATAGAATGATGATAACAGGGGAAAAAGAAAAAAGGCAAAAGTCCATCACAGTCCTTGCAGTTCAAGAAGAGCTTTTTCATAAATTTCAAAATACCCACAAAATCTGTTTTGTGGGTATACAGAGTTTCAAGACCACGCTCAGGATTCTTTTTTTTTTGTTTAAATTTTGACCTTCTCCTGCTGGAGATCTCACATGTGATTCTTTATGAAGACAAAAGTGCTCAGTGTGTATTTGAAGGGAAGTTAGATGACTTTTTTTGTGTTGTGATATTGCCTTAACTAGTACTTTTATTGCCATAACTACTTCTAGGAAAGAGAGCATTTGGGTGTGTACCTATGCATACAGATAAACTTTATTGGGTGAAATGCACAACTCAGGGTTTCGCAGATGAATACAAAGTCCAGGAGACACAAGAGTAAGAGGTGACCATTTGGAGGTATTTCCTCCTGTGATTTTTACACTGAACTTTCAAGTATTGAACACAATGTGAATTGAGAATATGCTGTAAGAATAGGTTATGTTCTAATATTCTTATTTTTGTTCTTCTTTTGTGTTCAGCTAACATGCCAGTGTACAGTGAAGAAGGCTGTTGCCCACTCTGCTGTGGTGACTTCAAACTGGCAGACAGCCCAGGTTGCTTTGACTGTAGAAAAAATCCCAAGGTATGCCTTTGCTGAAGAGCACTACTAGCGTTTAAGGGCTTTATGACTGGCTATGCTGACATTTAAAAATGAAAAGCAGAAAAGTGCAGAAGTGTGGCACTGAGCTGAAGGCACACAACATAATGCCTCTGCTCCTTCACCAGAATAGGCCAGGCTTACTTGCAGCTGATTTGCGACACCACCTTTTCTCCTCCGTTTTTTTAAAACACCTGTGCTTGTCATATAACAGTTGACTAGAAAGTACCTATTTCAATGGATAGCAATCGGTATCATCATGCCAAAACCACCTCACTGGCTTTGAAACAGCTACAGCATCTTCCATATGGATTTGTGGAGTGAAAAAAATACGATGAAACCAAGTGGATACAATTGGGAAAAGCAGGCTCAGGCCACACAACCAGTCTTCAATTTTTTCTAGATACTAAAGTTAAAAATGTTTCTGAGTGTTTTGTGTTTCTAGCCTAAGGTTAGAAGTAAGTTGTGTTTGTGTCCCTGTTTGCTTCTCCGCTTCTGACTATTCTTAGTCTTTAATAAAAACCCTATAGCTGCCCTACCAATCCCCTTCTCTTTTGCCTTACACCATCACAGCTTCGAGAGTACAACTGAGGTATTGGAAGGGTAACACAGTATCTCCAAAACATTAAAAATACTTCTCTAACCTACACTTCTACCAAGTCATTTAAAACAAAGACTCCTCCTACCTGAGCTCACATAATTTCAGTTTTTTAAATTGCTGTTATCAGATAACTGTGTACTATACTCCGTTCTACCACCAGAGACGAAAAATCCAAACCACTTACTTTCTTACCACCTGATTTGGCTTTCCTTTTCCGTGGAATCATTACATGGATCTGGGGAATAAAGCAAGGCAAAGCCACAGCTGTTAATGGAGGAGGGTATGAGAGGCTGTAAATCAATCCAAAGCCTTTCCTTCACACATAAACAATTACTAAAAGAGCATCAAGTGATTGAGAGATGTGATCAAGTGCATCAAGTGATTGGAGCTGAAGATATAGCATATATGGGATAGCATGGCAACAGTTCAATACATATTTCAAAATGGACTTCTAGGGGACAAGGAAGATGAGTGTGAACAGGAGTATAGACAGTGTTTTAGAGAAATTCTTACTAATTCATGGATTTTCAATGCATTCTTTCTTACAGAATTACTGCACTGTATTTAACACTTTCCTGGCAGGCTGAGCTCAAGATTTTAGGCAACAAAGATCATGACAAGGGCATGGTTTCTAAAAGCAGTTTTTCTAAAGTTTTACCTAACTATTTTGTAGGCTTTCACATGCACACTGCTTTAGCAGAATATATTTCTGTCTACTCTTTAGACAGCAAATCCTTTGCCAATATGTATGTGAGTGTAACTACTACAACCATCTACTCAAAGTGTGCCCCTGCAATTCTTTCAAGAACTATCGCAATCCCTACCAAAACACACAGTGATAAACAAGATTTATTTAATGTCACTGGGATGGGTGCCAGCAGTTTACTATGATGGAATTATAGTTGGAAAGCAAAGTAATACAATACTTGTAGGTATCACCTGGTGCATCTCTGTTCCTCAAAGCTGATGTTTCTCATCATAATCTCGTAGTATGCTTCCCAAAGTAACTGCATTTATGACACGACTTCTTCCACCAAATGCCTCCACAGTATTCCTCATTGGTATGTAAAGTATCAGGAATATTCTATACATCATCAACGCCTAATTAATCTATTTCCAGTGGTTTAAACAGTGTTTCATCACAGAGTTTGAATTTATTGCAAAGTGAAATACAGTCCAGAAGTACACTGGCAAAAAGGACTTCTGTCTTCTTTACGATCTTCTTGGGCTACAGAAAATTGAAATAAGCAGGCCGCATTTACAACAGAAATTCTCCACTTATCTTTTGAAGTGGTTCAGCACTTTCAAACTATGCCGAAGGGGTGGTAATCAGTAGGTAATCTACCTTAAAGGGAAACAACAAAGCAATTTTTTTAGCATAGCCAGATACATAATACTATCGAAGAGGATGCTCTTTATGGTCTCTCGCTATGAAGAACAAAGTCTTTACACAAAAGTGCATGAAAGTGATGCTATTTGTTGTCAGTATGGTCAGATGGCTAAGAGAATAGACTGAACCTTAAAATAGTTCCTTCACATTTTTGATAATAAACAGCTTTAGAGCTGTTAATCACTTAAGATTTATCTTTATAAAGGAATTATTTGTGAGAAGGACTAACTTTTAAGCAGTAATTCTTAAGTGGATTTTTTTTGTGTGTGTTGGATACTCCTGAAGACCTCATGATCACCCTGTAACTTTGACAGTGTTCTGTGGAACCCACTTGGAATTTAATCATTGCACCTTCAGTAACAAAGAGGAATACAAAATCATGTGAAGATTGAAAAGTTAAAAATAAGGCAGTTGCCCCATAAAACTTTGCCTAAAACTGAGATAAGTAACATTACCAGGAGTGGCAAAGGAAAGGAAATCCAAGACAAGGACAACTTTATCAATTAAAGTTCCTTTAGTAATGGTACAGTGCAACAACATCAACCAAAATACAGCTACTTGTACATAATACAAAAATATAACCCTTCATAGAGTTTATACTGTGCTATGAATGATGTATTGAGCTTAAAGAGTGATGTATAACATTTTATCTTCAATAATATGGTCAGGTACACTCAGCCAAATGGATGTACAAACACGCTCTCTTTAAAGACAAACACATAAACAGCAGTTTCTTAGTTCAGTGTATCCATATATCGCTAGGACTTGAGAGCAAACCAAGTCTTTCAAGTTTTCCCTTAGCTACTGCTCTCTGTCACAGCAGTTCTACAACCAAATGGTGAACCGAATTTTTGATAGTGGCATTTATTAGCAGATACAGAAAAGTATTATTCAGAACCAGCTTAAGGCACCATAGTTTCCACAACAGATCCAAGACATTACTGGCAAAAGTCAATTTTAAAGGCAGCTATGAGTGTTTAGCTACAGTACCATGATGAACAACAATCTATCATTGACAAAATACTCTGTTGACTAGTGTGGCTTCTGTTTGTTTCTCTAAAAGGAGTAGCAAAATACATTATTTTAACGTTATTACAATCTGAAGAATGCATAAATTCCTATCAAAAAAAAATTCTCCTTTCACTCCCGCTTTTAAAAATTCCAATCATCAATCTTCCAAGAAAATTCCTTCATAGACCTTTTAGAAACAGTTTCCAACATGTGATATAGTAAAAAGCCCACTGAATTATCTCTCTTCTCCTTTAAAAAAAAGTATATTGTCCCATGTCCTTCTCTCCCAAATATATGTATCTGCATCTGCCATCAACAGCACTGGTGAACAATTCATTTAAGCAAAATCAAGTTTTCTCCTATTTCTTCAAGATCTCTTCCTTAATAATAGCCCATGATACTGGCTAGAATTTAAAGCAATATGAAGTGAAACGACCATCTTGACAGCATCTGCCACAAAGACCCAAAGAGCTAAAACTTGCTAAAACTCTCTTAAATTCTAGAGTGAAAAGTAGGATTAAAATAGGATAGGACAAGGAGTAAATTAATCAAATTTCACTACAGAAATAGTGCATTCCATATTGAACATCATAGTTCAGACAGAGAATCATATCTGAGACATATTTAAAGAAGTACTTTGAACTTCATCACACGGTGATGTCAAAAAGTTATGGATGTTGCAGTCACCGTAGCAAACCTGCTTCCATTCACCAAAGGACAGAAAAATTTACCAAAGAAGAGCAGATATTGAATCACACATTACATACTTTGAATTACCATCAATTCTCACAGTACTCATTCCATTTATCTATTACAGAATAGTTAGGGCTGTTAAGTTCCTACAAATATCATCTAGTCCAACCCTCACTTGTATCCCCACATTTCAGAGTAAGACTGTCTGCAGCTACTTGTAAAAAATAACCAATATTCACTATAGTATTGATATATTGTGCAATAAATCCCCAAGGGCTTTCATTTGTGTATTCATCTACTTGGTCTGCCAAAACCTTGGCTCTTACCTGCACTTAGTGCAGAGTGTTGATGAGATTTTTCTGTGCCTTACAATAATGCCGACCTTGAAGTCAGACATTTTATTACCAGTGCAGTGAAAAACCTCAAGATTTTCCTATGAAAAATACCAGCAGCACATAAACTGCAAATTTGTGTCTCACTACCTATTTTCCTTTAAGGTGCAATGAGTACAAGCCTTGTTATATTGTTTCTGTGCCTTTTGCACCTGAACCTTAAAGTTTATCAGCTTTGCCACTTTTATTCATGTTTTGAAATGAAGTGAAATGCTTCAGAATTAAACTACACAAATCATGTGTTATCATATGTTCAGTCAAGTGTGAAGAAGCATAGCTCAGATTCTAGCAATACAATGAGCAACAGCCATTTCTTCCATTTCAAATAAAATAAATAATTTCAATTAAAGTAACAGCTTCAATCACAACAGCTGTGTGGCACATAAAAAACAAGAACTATAGAGAATTAATCTTGCTATTGTTATCCAATTATATCTAACCACAGGCATTTTCTGAGTCAGTCAATACCTACAATTTCTAAGCTAAAATCCAGATCTAAAACTGACACCAAAAAAAAAAAAAGGGAAAAGAAGCTGGAAGAACATTATCTTAAAAACAGACTTTCTTCATTAAATGAGCTAACCACACCTTAGGGTTACCTTTGGTCATGTTCTGAATGTACTCAGATCTCTAAAGACCTGGTAACTTTAGGATACATAGTTTATCCATAACAATCTATAGTATCTAATCTATCTATAACAATCTTCTACTTCTTGTGTATGACCGGCCTAATGATGACTTAACCAAAGAAAACTGAAATCATCTTGTATGGTTGGTTCTGATCTCAGTCACCTAACAGACACATGACACAAAAGTATCTATGAGAGCAGTGCAAATACAAAAGCTCCATGACAGGGGAGAAAATAAAAAAATAAAAATAAAAAAATAAAAATAAAAATAAAATAAAAATAAAAATAAAAATAAAAATAAAAATAAAAAAAAAGCTGTATGGGTTTTCTCAGCAGTTGTTTACTATTTTGCCTTCTGGCAGATGAAAAAAGTTATCTTCTTTGAGTTTAAGATGTTCTGGTAGATCCAGCTGTCTTTTTGCTTCTTCAATGTCTTCCTGAATTGCCGAAATGAGTGCATCTGAAAAAGATAAGAATAGGGACATTTAAAAGTTGGTTTGTATTCTGAACACAGTAACAAGCGAAAATAAGACACCACAAAATATCAAACAACAATCACAGAAGCAGAATATAACTATGAGGTATGAAAGGCAGAATTCTCTGCTTTTATAATGTCTTTTTTTTAACATGCTAAAGTTGCATTTTTACTCATTACCAGCACTATCCTCTTAATTTGTCAAAAGACATGTTAGCAGTTCTGTTTCAATACAAAATTAAAATAACTAAAACAAAACTGCATTTTAAGAAGAAATTAGTACACTTGACTTTTATGACAAGCCCATGATTTTAACATTACTCCTCAGCCAAGTGAAAGGAAAGTGCAGGTTTTTAGGGTGGTGCATAAGAAGATGCGGGGGTATGGTTTTTTGGTTTTGAGTTACAAAAACATTTTGCCTTACATAAAGCAAATGTACATTAAAAAGTACATATTTATTTACATAAAAATTTCAAAGGTTAACTAATAAAACATCTTATGATGGAAGGAGGTACAGTGAAGACACAGAACCTGCCTAAGTAAGGAAAAAAAGAAACTAGCTTGAGGGACATCTCCAGTACTGACCTAAGGAATCAAAGTTTTTTTCCGGTCGAATGTATCCAGTTATAACTATACTAAGAATTTCTCCATAGAAATCTTCTTTGAAGGTGTGGATAATGTGTGTTTCCTAAAGAAAGATAAGTAAGTGGACAATTATTATGAGCTTAAGAGTTTATTTCCCTCTCTGTAAGCATGCAGGTCTAATATCCAACATTCAAATTGTCCTCAACAGATAAAAAATAAAAGGGACATTTAGTACTGCATGTATAATCCAAAATTAAAAGACCAAGGCTTCAGTTTGTATTAGGAAGTAGAACTGCACTCTGCATGGAATTAAAAAAATTTACTCCCTTAAAGAGTAAGAAATATATAAAGAGAAAAAGAAAGGGGAAAAAAACCCAAAAAAGCACCAAAACAACAAAAAGCCCCAATTATAAAAGAAACAAAACCCACACCCCACACATCAGGAGAAATGCTTCAAAACCTCTCAGAGGTAAGACTTCTGAGGCAGGAAACGTTAATGTCTCATCAACAAGTAGATACATCAAATAACTATGAAGATTTTGATAGAAGTAGCTAGCTCAACGACAGCTTTTACAACAGAACTGGATTATAATGTTGAAGAGCGAGTCCAGATAAAGACACGGTTCCACGTGACACTCAAAACATTTTTATGCACATCTTCATCTCCAAAATAGGCCAATCCATAGAATCTACCAGCAGAGCTATCATTTGGGAGGCTTTTAACTACTTGCTCAGAAAAGTTATCTGCAAAAATATTTTAAAGTAGACATTTGCCTCGAGACAAACACTTAGAACGAGAGATTAATGTACAAATAAAATTGTTTTCAACAAATAAAAGAGAGCTCTGCAACACTCAGGAAAAGCACCAGCACACGACAGCAAAAAAACCCACAGCTGTCACAGCTCAGGATTTTAACTTCTCCATCCTTACATCCTTATATGCCTTCAAATATTTATTCTGTACATTAAGCCGCAGCATCTCATGTATGGATTCCACAAAAGAAGAATTAATTAAAACATCATTACACATTAAGCTGCCCCAGCATCTCCTATCTGAAATGTAGATACATTGCAAAGAACAACAGATTATTACTATGTTCCAGCTTATGCTAGGGCTCTCATAACTAGTAAATTCAATGTATTTACCAAGTTTATGTTTAATTTGCTATCAGCAAGTCAAGCAACCATCATTTCAAGTACTGTTATATTTTAATTAAAAGTTAAAAGTTTGTTAAAGAAGAAGTTAAAAAATTGCGGAATAGAAGAAAGAAGAACTTTATTCAACTTCATGTGCATGCTCTCTGGTTACAGAAAATATATTCTTAACAGAATATAAATATTATATAGATAACAAATGCGTTTCTAGTGGTGCACAGATTTCTAGATATCATTCATCAATCAAATTCTGCGCATCTTGTTAAAATTCTTCCAGTCTTTTATTACAATAAAAATCCCACAAAAAGCAAAATTCTTACCACTGATTTCTTAATATTCTTATAGAAGGGATTCCATCCTATGCTCAAAACCATTTTATGCACATCTCCATTTCCAACACAGGCCCATCCATAGTATATACCAGTGGGGATATCAGATGGAAAGCTTTCAACTACTTGCTCAGAAAAGTTAGCTGCAAAAATTTTATAAAGTGTGAGTGACTTTGTGTAAATCAAGTATATAAGAGGATCTTCAAATACTTAAAAGCCAAACTCTGCCTATGTACTATTTACAAACGTAACACTGGTGATGATAAGATTAATGCAACATACCATTGGCAAAGCATAAAACAGCTTCACAAAATTCAGTCACTGTGGCAATACCAGAGCTATTACATCTCCTACAAACACACACACTGTATTGTATACTGCAATAATAATTAATAAATACGTCATACATACAGACAGAACACATTTCATTCTTAGGACACAGCTTTACTATGATGAAAAATGAGAGGGAAAAAAATCAGCTTTCTTCTGCACTATGAAATAGCATCTCAGAACTATTTATTAGTAAAATATTTACTGATGAAATAAACTATGTAGAAGCAAATGTGATAATTTAGTCATCTGTCAATTTTGCACAAGTTCCCTTTCAGAGGCACCTGTGGATTTGAGATTTCCTTTGAAAACTACATATTTATAGTAAAATAAAATTTCCTTTAGACTGACTTTAACCTTCTCTCAAAATTACTATCCGACCTCTAATTCCCAGCTGAATAGATCTCTTCATACAAGATAGCAAACTGATTTAAAAGAATAGACAGTTACCAAATTTTCAGCAAAGCTCACAGACAGTAACAGCTTCCTTTCCCTGTTCCCTAACACCAACACATTGTTTATAAACAATCCAGAGAAAGATGTGACACGTTCTCAGAAACAGATGTCAGAAATCCAGCACCACAAGAGTGGTCTTATAAAGTTTCATATCTGTTAGACATAGTGCAATATGACCTCTGACTTCAACGTCCTTTTAAGTAAGGTCAAAATTCTCTTGCAGTATTCATCTGCCTTCATTTAGACAACTGAAACAGAGATGGGCAATAGGAAAACATATTGTCTGTAGGCCAAGCCTACCTGCTCTGTTTCAAACACTGTTTTATTTCCCTTAAACTTTCTTCCTTGCAGCGATTCCCAGTGCCAATTCCCTTTCTAATTCCTACGGAGGTTTATGCGAAGGGTTATTTTCCCAGGCTGCCACACCACTGCACCGAGAACGTGACACTTATCTACATCCTGTACATCGTGACAATCACTAGATGAGAAAAGGAACAAACGTCAAGATTCAGGGAAACCTCTTTACAGACTGGGTTGCAGGGAACAACACAAGGGAAGATGCAAGACTCTAAGTATGGGGAGGTAAGCGTCAGGAAAACGGGGTTAGGTAACAAAGCAGAGCCGTTCTCGGAAAGCGCCAAGTCATGACAACAGTGCAGCTGTGCAGGGCAGCAGGGCGGCCACCGAGGTCAGGCGAGCTTAGTCACAGCGCTGTTTGGCAGGAGAACGGCACGGCTCCGCCCGAGGGGCGCGACAGCGACCGGCTGCAGAACCCCGGGCCCAGCGTCTCGCCGGTGGGAGCGCTCCCGGGACCCGGCGCGGACCCCCAACCCCGCGGCTGGGCCCAGCCCCGCGGACAACCCGCGCGTGTTTCTCCGGGAGGGTGTGCCCTCCGCGCCCGCTCACCGGTGGGGATGCCCAGCTCCTTGGAGCCCCTGCCGAAGCCCTTCACCACCTCCCCGCGGCAGAAGTACGGCAGGTGCCTCATGGCCCCGCGCTGAGACGCCGGCGCCGCGGGCCCGCCGCGTCGCTGCGCCGCTCACCACCGCCCCCCGTACGGGGCGCTACCAACGGCAGGGGAGGAACCGGCCGGCGCGCTCGAGTCTGCGATCCACACAACGCTCCTGCCGGCTCCTGCCCACCCTCCAGAGTGGACGTGCCCGCGCCTCACGCCCAGCGTGCCCTCCCTCGCCGGGGGACAGCGATCCCGGCCGGAGCGGGGCGGTGATCTCGGCCAGAGCAGGGCAGAGCTGGACGGCGGTCCCCGCCCAAGAGGGGTGGGTGGCGATGCGCTTTGCCTTGTGCTGCGGGGCGCTGCCGCTCGTCGCGGCTGTGCCCTTTGCTCCAGCGTGCGGGTGTTGTGACACTCAGCTCTCCGAGGGCGGCTGGGTCTGGCCTGCCCTGCAGTTTCTTCGATGGAAGCCACAGTGACAGCGGTGACTGATGTGCATCAGCTGCCACATGCCGACCCTCTCACCTGAAAGGCTGCACCTCGCACCCCGGGCCCACGCGTGGAGATGGGGATTGTTGCTGCCTTGGTAGCCCTGGATTTGCCTTTTCGCTCAGAAAAGTGCAAATGCTTCAGTGCGCACCAGACATTCAGGAAAGCCGCCAGAAAACAGGTCTTTTGTGACGAGCTGTAGCGAGCTTCAGTTGCCTCCTTAAAACAAAACAAAAACAATAATCGAAACAACCAAATCTCAACAGCAAACTAAACTAAAACCAAACCAAAAACCCAAACCATGTTTACTCACCTGTGCTTTACCAACGTGGTCGCGTCTCCCCTCCCGCCGTTACCGCCATTAGTGCAGGGACCTCCTTTGGAAAAACAGCACCAGGACAGCAGTGCTCATTCTGTGTTCACTCAAAGGAAAATGAAGGGTAACTGAGCATTTCTCCTCCTTCACTTCCTGTTTCTAGTTGCTCTTCATGTTGATAAAGCTTACTAATATATTTAGATATTTGCACTCTTTTTTCTATAGCCCTGCCTGATGCAACTTAAATAAATTTGATATTGCATGAGTTCAAAATAGCATTATTGTGAAAGATGTCCATAATCTTGGTAAATTACAGGACAGCCAACCCGTCCGCAGTATGTCTCTTTGTATCAGTGATACTATAGGCCATTTGAGTTCTGGGGTCTCATACAGCACTGCTGTGCTCCACATAAGCATATTTGTATTTAAACACATAACTGTTATCCAGAAACACCATCCAGAAAATCCGTGAACTGGCACTTTCTTTTCTTTCCCCCCTTCCAGAACAGTTTCTAATTTCAACAGTTTGATATAAGTCATAAAAATATTTCAGGAATTATCTCTAATTTGGTTTGCTATTTTTTTAATGTGGAAAAGCAATGTAAACATCTATGCCTTGTACTTGTATGTAACTGTATTCCAAGTAAATAACTTTTAAAAATGAGAATTGTTCTGAGAAACTGACTTATATATCATATCATAAAGCACTGTCTGTTCCTGGAAGCTGTGGGTTTTTCCTCAAAGTTCTCCTCTTCTTTCCTTCTTTAATTTCTCTTAATTCCCTGCCGTCCTTTTCATTATAACATTTGAATTCATTACTTCAGTTTGAATAGCTTTGACTCTCTTGGAGAATGACTATATGAGTAGCTGGAACTTGCAACAGAGTGGATATGTAAGAAGAAAAAGTGGAAGAGAAAGATTTCCTAAGTACGCTACTAGCAGGTCAATTCTGTTCTGCTGTCTCTGAGTATGTAGAGAATAATGTTACAAAGAGTGTTTAAAGTGATATTTCGTAATGGAAGTGTCTTGGATATGAAGTCTAAATCTTGAAGTCATTGCCTATGTGCTTAACAGATGACCGACCATTAACAGTTGACAGTGTCACCTCACGGCCATTAGCATTGCTAGTTTATTTTAACTGAAAAGCAAGAAACGGAAACAAAACCCCTCTATTTTTTTGGAATGAGTTTCCTCACGGTATTTGCATTCAAGGACATACAGATTTGTGTTCTTCCCCCTCTTCCCCACGCCTTTTTTTTTTTTTTTTTTTTTTAAATGAATCCGTCATTTCAGAACAGATGTTGCTGTTCTTGTGATATCCACACGATGGCACACAGTGCCTTCTTTTTCAGCGTCTGTGGCTTTGGACAAAAGGTTTACAATCTCCGTTACTGATAAGACCTTGAGAAGTACCAAGTCAAGGAAATATTTGTTTAAAAACTATGTGGTTAGGTAATTTCACAGAAGTCTAACTGACGACTTCTATCTCATTCTCTCAAACAGTTGTAACATTAATAATTTTTATCAATAATCATGATGGGCTGCCAAGATCCAGCTAAAACATTAGCCATCCTTCATACTATGTCCTAATTTTTCTTTTATTATTAGGTATACTAGTTCATATTGGAGAGGAGGATGGATCTTGAACAAGTAGAATTTAATTACTTCTACTGAAATTTAGAGTTGTTACCTCTAGTAGACCTGTTTCTGCCAAAAACATAATCAAATTTTAGTGATGAACATGTCTGCTAGCATTGTCAGTCAAGAGAAGAACAGTTTGATACCTTCTGCTTTCAAATATATCTCCTTCAGTGAGAAAACTCGGGTGCTATTTCAGCCAGCTAGGGAAGAACATCTGTTCCCTACTTATGCTACTTTACCTATAGTTACTGTCAGTGAGAAGTATTTTTCTTTTTTTCTAGGATACGTGTACAGCCACAGAAACCAGAATAAAGAAAAGAGAGCACGTGTTATGTCACCTGTGTAGGGCTCATGCCAGTTTACCTAACTGAACGTAAGCTTCGAGGACTCATCATACTAACCAACATTTAATGCAGAGTAGAGCCTACTCTGTTCATCTTGTTTTGCATAAGATAAAAATAAAACATAAGATTTGTATCACATCACAACCCTGTGTCAGAGTCCCTGTCTCTTATTACTGTGCTGCAAAAGCCTGCATTCCTGTGCAAGGTTTAAGGTGAGAGCAGGAATGTCCTGTTTGCTTCATGTGGTCTGGAAAAATAGTATAACCGTATCTGCTGGATACTGGATTGTTTTAGGGCTGTCCCAGCCAAACTGGAAATTCTGGTTACACCAGGCTCAGTGAAATATTCAGGAGCTGACTCAGAGAAAAGCGTGACATAGTAAAACTAGTAGCATTTTAGCCACTTCCTTGGAAGTTTCCATTCCCAGCATGACAAAACATTCATTGATTCAGGAGTTCAGTTCAAGGACACTCTGGCACTCCTTAATTTTAGTATGCTGAAACCAGGTGATGAAATCACAGATATGTACAAACACACTCTTGCTAGAATGTCTAGCAAATACCTGCTTTGAAAGTACTTTTCCTGTATTTTAGTCTGGAATAGAAAACCACAAAAGTTATTATTTTACCTTTTTTTTTTTAATTGTCTTTATTTTTATCAGTCTAAAGTTTTGTTCTAGTTGAATAGACCACATTTTTCTAGAAAAAATACCTGCACATTAGTGTGATGGTACCAAGACTGTGTTAGATTACAGTGAAGCAGCAGCTATTATGAATGTCTGTTTAATAAGGCATAGCTGATATTATCTGCTGAACATCAGATAATTGCATAAAATTCTAAGAACTACTATTTGTATGTTACTAAACTGTGTGTGAAGGACAAAATTGGTGCATTTCAGATATTATAGAAATATTACATAAAGGCGTAGAAATTGATGCTTTTTGAAAGTTTATGTCGATTCTCAAGAATTCCTCCAGCTTTTGAATCCCTATTTCTCTCTTTGATGTCTTTTCTCCACACCAAATCCTCAATTAGCTCCTTGAAAAATACAAAGCATCGCTTTCAGCTAGCTTCCCATTATCTCTGTACAGCATTGTATCGTGCCATGTGGACATGCTTCATGTTTAGTGCTCAAAATTCTCTCAATTTTAATACTTCTTAAGCAACCAAGCTTTTTTTTTGTTGTTGTTGGTTGGTTGGGGTTTTTTTAAAGCTTTTAAATGCATTTTAAGTCCCTCCCACTTTGTCCATTTTCCAAAAATTGTTTAATAGGTGTTTCAGATTAAATAACTGTAATTAACTGATTAGGTTGAATCATATGATGGCCATCTGAATGGCAGGTGTATTGTCACACATATTTTTTTTCAGCCACAGTTGACTCGGATCAAAATGTTTGTGACCAGTCTGTCCCATCTTCTATGTCCCATATATATGTTCAAGTAAGGCAGCTTACTTGAAGATAACAAAATGAGATTCTCATATGTTTGACAGACTCTGATCCAAAATATCTTGCATTTCTCAACAACACAGATTGCTATCAGGAATCTAGCAATGGAATGTAGAGGAACAAGACTGGGGATCTAGGTGAAAGGTTAGGAGATATTTATTGTATTGTCATGATAAATAGATGTTAGGCAACTTGGAGGTCAGTGTCAAGCTACTTCTGCAGAAATGGTGTGCAAGAAATGTAGGAAATGGTGTGTAAGAAATGTGTTACAGGAAGTAACTGAGATAGCTGAGATCAATTACGGAAGTAATAAACAATGGGACAGACAATAGATTTTTCAGCTCATGAAATTAAAGAAATATCAGGAATAACTTAATTACAGATTTTGGTGAATCTGCATAATTTCTGCTTCTCATCGGCTATAAAGCAAACAGAAATTAGATACCAAAATATTCTAGAACTAATACGATTCAGTTCTTATTTTCTGCTTTTCATGGGGAAGAATAGAGGACAAAGGTGCTAAAGGTTTACAGAAATAGGGAATCACTCAGAGCGAAAAGCCTGTTAGAAGAGCATAAACTCAAGTGGGAATGAGTATGGAGATATAAGGAGCATATATTTGATGTTCATGAAGCTCCTTAATTTGGGAACACTTTACAAAAGAAAGTAAATCAATTTGTCAAAACTGTTTTTCTTTACTAAAGGAATTGGTTTCACAATAACGTAAAGAATAAGAAGATTGAATCAGTGGCCACTGAATTAATTCATGGAAATACCACAAAGAACAGTACCCTCTCAAAAAACACGAGTTGAATTGTCCCAGTGGTA